GCCGGCGGGGAGCTGTGCCTTGCGAGCGCCTCTGCTGTTCCCGGCGCGATGCCTCGGCCTGCGCTGTGCCCCTGTGCGGACGCCCGAGGGACGCGTCTGTCCAGCAGGGCCAAGCCTTCAGCCCCTAAGGAACCGGAGTCGGTGCTCTGCGACAGCCTAGCTGGCTCAGGCAGAGAGAAGCCTAATTATGTTTTTCCCTCCTGTTCGAAGACCTTATCGTGAGACCTGCCGCAGGCGGAGGATCAGCCCTCCAGCACAGGCCTGGGCACCGCGTTTGTGTTAGTATCTATCTGCAGAAGCAGGCGCTGGCCCCGGGCCTGCACTGGGTGCTGTGCGGTAGGGAAAGGAGAAGTGAGCAGCCCATCTGCTCTCTGTGCTTGGTGGGGCCGTGGTTGCCTGTTACTCCCGGCTTTAGCAATGGTTAAACTGCCAGGAGGCCAGGACGGGAGCAGCCCTCCAGCAGCTGTCTGTGGTGGATGACAGTGCTCTGTCCTCCAGTACATACACTATTCATATTTTATTTTTTGTAGTATTGGGAATTGAACCCAGAACCTTTACACTGAGCCTCCCAGCCTTTTACTTATTTATTTTTTGTTTGTTTTGAGACAGGCTCTCACTAAATTGCCCAGACTGAGATCAAACTTGCAGTCCTCCTACCTCAGCCTCCCAGAGTGTTTGGATTACAGGCATGTGCCACCATTCCTGGCTGTCACACACTGAGAACTCACCCCGGCCCAGGAAGGGAGGTGGCTCTGGGAAATGATAAGTGGTTCTTGTCTGTGCCCCAGAGAGGGACGCTGTGAGATGCCAGCTCTGCTGGCTCCATGGCCTTTTGAGAAGCCTGGGAGAGTGGGGAGGTTTTGTGGTGTTCTTCCTTGTCAGGGCCCTGAGAACCCAGAAAAGAAGGTTGATCTACTCTGGCTGCATCAGATTTCACCTTATGGGACATAAAAATGCACTTGTGTATGATGGCATGAATAATAATGAAAACATTCTCTTTGTAAACCACTCAAGCATTGTAAAAAACTGAATGCCACCTTAGGCCTTACCTTCTTTTGTCAGCTTTGCTGCACCACTTAGCCTACTTTTTTGTTTCCTTTTGTTTGTGTTTTGAGACAAGGTCTCCCTATGTAGTTTATGCTGGGCTTGAACTTCCTGTGTAGCTCAGGTAGCCTTGAACTGGGGGCAATCCTCCCGTATCAGCTTCTGAGTCCTGGGATGGCTTAGGCCTGAGCCACCACACCGGACCCCTTGGCCTAATTGTTAGCTGCCTATGTTGTGTCCAGGAGGAGGCCAGTGGAGGCGAGGGAAGTGATCGAGTGCGGAACCTGCAGAGCCAGGTGGAGGGAGTCAAGAATATTATGACCCAGAATGTGGAGAGGATCCTGGCCCGAGGCGAAAACCTGGACCACCTCCGCAATAAGACAGAAGATCTGGAAGCCACGGTGAGATGGGAGCCTTCTGGGGTTAGGGGTGGGGAGAGAAGCTTCTGTGTGCTTGTGGGAGTGGGATGAAACGACCAGGAGGGATGGGTGTCTGCCACCTCAGTTGCCTTTTTGCCTCATTTGGAGGTGGATAAAGACCTGAGCCCTGACTTCTGGTCCAGCTCTGCTCCACTGAGTGGCATGGGATCCAGGGACTGGCGTCTGGGGCTGGGGGGACCCAAGAGGCATTTTGGGACAGATACACAGCTCGGCCAGACGGGGCATTATTAGGCTTCTTTCCTGTGAAACTGATTTTCCCTTTGATGCTTGCCCTTTACCATGTTTAGACCTGACCACCCCTAGGCAAACTATCAGCTCTGAGAAAAGCCTTCTCACCTTCTCCTGGAGTTATTAGGCAGAGGGTGGAAAATTGCTAGAGTCTTGCTGAGTCAGCTTGCAAGAGAAGCAGGGAAGCTCAATGCAGTTCTTTGATCCCAGGGTCCTCTTTCAGCTGAGGACTGGAATAGAATCTCTAGCACAATTGTTAGACCTTCTCTTTCTAGCCAGGGGCCCAGACTGGCTGCTCAGGAAAGTACTAACTCCAAAGTTCAGCCAAGGCTAGAACCTCAGAGTCTATGTCCTGCAGGCACTGGCTCTGGCTGTCTGAGTCCTGTGTGTCATCTTGAGTCTCTGTCGTTCCTTGGTCTCCTTGGGATGTAAGTGCCTGGCTCCACAGCCTATCGGGTACGTGGCCCAGAGACTTGGTGTCTATCATTCAAGTTGGGGGAGAGGAGGTGCTTCTCTCACTTCCAAGCCCCTGTGCCGTCTTGGACCTCCAGCTTCCATAGTCCCCTGGGGACAAGGTGCCCTGGAGCCTAGAGATTTGCCCCTGGGCCTGCCTCCTAGGGTAGATTGTGCTGCCAGGGTCATAGGCAGACCTGAATGTGAGCATGTGTCAAAGCCCCTCAGGACTCTCCTTCCCGACATTCAGGTAGAGTAGTCCTAGGAGCCCAGGAATTCTAAATGTGAATTTGACCTCGCTGTTAGGAAAGTGGTAATTTGTCAAAGTAAGAGGACAGAAGATCCTTTATTTCACAGTTTGTTACTGCATCTTATAACACAAATATTTATTTGTTTGTTTTATTTTGTCTTGCTATGTAGTTCAGGCTGGCCTTGAACTCACTGTGTAACTCAGGCTGGCCTCAAACTTACAGTGATCCTCCTGCCTCGGCCTCCTGAGTGCTAGGATCACAGGTGAGAGCCACCAGGCCAGGCACAACACCACTCTTCAGACACGTGGCCTGAGGGAATCTGTACTCTTCAGTGGGAGGAGCCAGTGGGTCACTCACTCTCTCTTGTCCCCAACAGTCTGAGCACTTCAAGACCACATCACAGAAAGTGGCTCGAAAGTTCTGGTGGAAGAATGTGAAGATGATCATCATCATCTGCGTCATCGTTTTTATCATCGTCCTCTTCATTATCCTCTTTGCCACTGGTGTCATCCCCACCTAGGGAGCCCCTCCCACCCTGCCCTCCTCTTCAGGGGCCATCTGCCATAATGGGGACCACGAGGGGCCCTCTCTCCTGTCCTCTCCACGGGAATGCTGCTTGGTCACCCTGAAGCCCCGGTGCCATGTGTTATGTCCCAAAGAGCACCGTGGTCCCTGGAAGGAGAGCTGGACTATGGCTGCATTTCATGGGTCCTTAGAGCGGGTTGGAGAGACCCCGAGGATCCGAATGTGGGTGGGAACCTGTTGGTGGCTGTGGGTAATAAAGGCCTTCAGTATCCCTATTTGTATCTTCTCCCTTTCCTTTTAACCCTTGGCCATTTCAATTCTTGCCTTCTAGAGGTGACCCTGACATTGGAGGCCCAAATTTTTGGAAGAGTGGAGAGCATGTGTTTGGAAAAGAAAGATGGAAGTTCCCTATTGTTTGGTTTGGTTTTGTTCATTTGTTTTTTGAGACAAGGTCTCACTACGTAGTTCAGGCTGGCTTTGAACCCACTATGTAGCACATGCTGTCCTCAAACTTCTAACAGTAATCCTGCCTCAGTCTCCCCAGGACTAGGAACAAGGTGTGTGCCACCACACCTGGCTTTCTTGTTTTGGCTTTTTTGTTTGTTTGCAGTACTGGGGTTTGAACTACTTGGCTTCCCCCTGAGCTACATCTCCAGTACATTGTTTGTTTATTTATTTATTTATATTTTTTTGGTACCTGGGATTGAACTCAGGGCCTTGTGCTTGCCAGGCAGGGTGGGCACCACTGAGCTATATCCCCGGGCCCTCCAGTATGTCGTTAAGTGGCCCTTGCTAAATGGCTGAATTGCCCTAGCTCAAACTGTGATCCTCAGGCCTCAGCTTCCAGAATGCTGTGATTACAAGTGTGGGCCAACAGGTGGGGCTAAGGAGCACCTGTTTTTATTTCACCCTGTTCTGTTCATTGTCACAGGTCTCAAGAACAGCAAGTTTTTGCAGATCTTGGCATAGGACAATTCAAAGCATTTTGGGGTAACATGCAGGATTCAGTGTCCCCCTTGTGTCCTCCATGCCCTCTTATTTCCCTTCCTCCAGGAGTAATAATTGAGACAGGAGGTCTACCAACATAAAAAATGTAGACTCTTACATAGGGTCTCATGTCTCTCCTGCCACTGCCATCTCTTTACTTTAAAAAAAATTTTTTTTAATTTTGAGACAGGTCTTGCTAAGTTGACCACATTGGTCTGAAGTGGTTCTTCTGCCTCAGCCATCTGAGCAGGGGTTATATAGCACATGTCACCACAGTCGGCTTTCCCTGTCTCTTCCAGACCCTGATGTCACCCAGAGGCAAAAATCAGAAGACACAGGCTGCTTTTCCTTTTCTGGTGGTTCTGTGTGTTTGGTCCGCCCCTGCCCTGCAGGGACAAAGTCTGCCATGGGTCTCAGCCATCATGAGGGGGTGAACGTCTCTACCAGGCTGAGCAATCAGCATCACAGGACAGGACCTATAGCCCTCCTCCTGCTTCTTGCACAATGAGCCTTTCTGTCTGTCCCCTGCCCTCCCTCCTCCCCACCAGGTCCCACAGTCATTGTCCCGCTTTCCTGAGCCTGGTCCCCCTCCTTTGCCATCTGACTTGATCCCACTTCTGCCACAGGTTTTTCAGAATTGGAAACAACTTACCGTGAGAGGAAGCAGGGAAGGGGCGAGGTTATAAGTCAGGTTCTAGAATCATGCCTTGAATTCTGGGCAGGGAAAGAGGAACACGGGAGAGGCCTCGGGATGCCTTTGCCCCAATGATATCCATCCCCTCACTCCTCAGCACACTGCTGGCACACTGCTGGATACAAAGCTGTGCAGTGGGGAGCAGGGGTCTGTGCCTGAAGAGGCTCAGCTCTGTGGAGAGAAGCCTCAGTCCCTGGCTCAGGATGGGCCTCATTTGGGATGCTGGGGTGGCGTGGGTCAGGAGGAGGACAGAGGCAGATGATTTCCCTGCAGCAGTGAGTAGAGAGGTAGCAGATCAGCCGGCATCCCTGACTAAGGAGTAGCTTCACCAGAAAGCGGGAGCTAGCTAGCATCCTCCCAATCTGGTTCTGCCACACCCACCCTCGGATTTTTCTTTGATTTTTGAAACAGGGTTTCACCATGTAGTTCAGGCAGCCTCGAACTCACTATGTGACCCAAACTGGCTCTGAACTCTGCAGTCTTCCTGCCTCACCCTCCCAAGAGCTGGGATTACAGGAGTGGGCCACCTCACTTGGCTAGGGGTGAGGGAGTAACTCTTAGTTACGGGTGAGGTGCACTCACCAAGGTGGCACATCCCCCTCCTGGCCTGTTCATGGCATCTGCAGTGCCCAGCGCAGTGGCTGACGATAGCCTTCACACTTGTGCCCGCCCGATTTCCTATCTCCGATGCAGCCGCAGAAGGCACCAGGGCTCGCTCCTGTGCCCATTTCACACAAGGCGCCCCCCAGGGATCTAAAGCGTACAGAACTGACAGACACCAGATCCCCAGTTCTCCAGGCCGGGGTGTCATTAGAAGTTGGCACCGGTGGCCCGGCAGGAGGCGCCCCACGGACCCTGGTTGCTGTCCCCTCCGCTTTCGATTTGATCTCGCGCCCCCGCCCCGCCCGCGCTGCCC